AGGCGGAGCGATTCCCGGCCCCCCCAACATGGGGAGACCGAAAAATCGACCCCCCGTCCCCCCCCGAGCTCTGGTGAGAAAAGCCCCACCAGCCCCGGCAAGGGGGGACCCACCCCGACCCCCAGTGCCCACGCGGACAACAGTCCGCGGGACACCGGAGATCGTCCCCGAAACCATGAGGCATGATTCCGGGGACACGCCGCGGGTCCACGGTGCCCCTCCGGACAACAGTCCGTGGGACACCGCTTCCCCGCCCTCCCCGGCCGGTTTCCCGGCTTGGCCACTCCTTGGCCATGTGGGCTCTTAGTCGGCGGGCCCTCCGGAAGGCCTCCGGAGTGCCCGCCTTAAGCCCCCTCACCACGTCAAGGTGGCCCACGCGAGGGGGGACGCAATAAGCCTTACCTTGCTCGACAAGCGGACGGACTAACGCAAGTGGAGCAAATTACTGGTGGTTGAGGCCAACAGTAACGAAATAACGCACGTTGTTATGTATTTTAAATATTTATTCCTTTCTTTTCATTCAAAAAAAGGACAATTCAAAAGGACAATTCAAAAAGGACATTCAAAAAGGACAATTTGTTTTTATTATAAGATAACATTATACTAAGCATCTTCGACGGTTCGACACCCCGCCGTACCTACAAAAAAAATATCCCGGTGGAAGTACGCGCGCGTCTATCGTTACGCACTCTCCGAATCAACCACACGCGCGAGAGAGAGAGAGTCTAATCTGACGAGTGAAAGAGAGAGAGAGAGAGAGAGAGAGAGAGAGAGAGAGAGAGAGAGAGAGAGAGAGAGAGAGAGAGAGAGAGAGATTTAAGAAGACTTTCTCTGTCTCTCTCTCTTCAACTTATCTTCAACTTATTCAATGGGACGCTTTATGGTCAACCCTCCTTAACAATAATAGATAGAATATCATCAGATTACATTAGATTACATGCAATTTCAATGTAAGTTAATAGGACTCTTATTTACATTCAAATTGCATGTAATCCAATGTAATCTCACAATCAGTGAACATCGAGCGTCAGTTACATTGCATTTATGTTACAATTTCTCGCTCAACAATGTAAATGTAATATAATACACGTGTGTGTACATTGTTGAATGAGAAACTGTGACAGAAGTACAGTGTAATTGATACTCGGCGTTCACTGGGATGTCTGGGATCCGATCATATTCTATTTAATATATTTTAAACAGGGAATCGCACGATAAATCGTCGCGGCGGGTAACACGGCGGAATAAAATGGGAAATTTCCAAATTCCTCAGAGCCCTCGTTCTTTTCTCCCCTCGAGCGACCTGAGAATTTATCGCGACGTGTTAAAAAAACTTATTTGACGAATGCCGTGACATTTTTCCCGAAACTTATCCTCGATCGGAAAGATGGACGCGCGGATTTACCGGCCGCGCGACGGCTCGCCGGAAGAAGACACGAGAGCGTGGCTTCGCCCAAGACCAGAAGAGCCCATGGTATCCGCGAGGTATGGCCTTTGCGACGCGGAGTCTGCGAGTTTTATGTAAAACATACAATGCGAGCGCGGGGACGACGTATCGCAGCGTCCGGCGGCCCGTCGGTCGCGTGTCGCTCGTTCAGTCTGCGCAAAAATACCGCTACAGTACCGAAAGTGAGTACTATTATAACCTCTGCGCGAAAGCATGGCTCTCGCGATTTCTACTGCGATCGTTTTAATCGTAGATCACTCGCGTCGTCAACGGGAGTCAATGTATATGTCGATGTTTGATAGACATTGGCGGAGAGAACCGTTGGCGAGGGTAGCTGTCGATTTTAATTGATTATTCTCGCGAGATATGTCGAGCCTAATGAACGTACAATTAGAAACAATGTACTCGACTCCTGCTTCGACGTGAGCGAACGTATCTCTCTCGTGTATACGTAAAAATGCGCGCGTTTGTCACATTGTCTCACCTTGCACGAAATCCCTTCCGTGTCTCCAGCAACGGATCGGCCGAAGATTACTAGTAACCTGACCAACATACAGTCGTCGATAAGCGACACCGAGTCGTTGGGGCAGGAGACGGCAGCTCAGAAGAAGCAGAATGAGCAGCAGAAGGAGGACGAGGAGAAGGCGAAAGAGCGTGAGAGGTCCAAGAGAATGATGAACTATGGGTTCGTGGCGTTCGGTGTATTCATGGGTATTGGCTCCACATATTTAGTGTACGAATTAGGAAGACCTAACTACGACGATCATGGAAATGCTATCGAGGATGAATTTTCCCATTTGCCGTTCTTCGAGCAGGTCTACAAGAGAGTCAAGAGAGAGCTCAACTATTATACAAGGGTACGGTGCTTTTATAACTCCATTCTGTACTTGTAATATGAATACCGCTTTAAAATAGATCGAATAAAGTAGATAAATCAATATATGGTAAGCTCGTGCGACAACGTGAGGAATTATTTAACGCCAGTAATTGATTAACCAATGTAGCAAATTGCATGACGACCCATGGCTGGCAAATTCTAATTAAAGAAATTGCTTGCGAAAAATATTACCCTGGCTGAGGTGATATTTTTCGCAATCAATTTCTTTAATTAGAATTTGCCAGCCACAGGTCGTCGTGCAATTTTCTACACTTGTGAGATAAGTTTGTAATTTTCTAAATTCTTTACACACGGCGTATCTCTTAACTTTGGAGATGGATTTAACACGTCAAGTTGTACTCGTGTGTCAGGGTATACTTCTCGTGATACGAACTACGATCGTTGGTATGTTTACAGCTAGTGCAAGAACCGAGTAGGGAAAAGTTGTTACCCGACCCATTGAAACATCCGTATATCCAGCCTCCGTATACTCTAGTTCTGGAGATGACAGACCTCCTTGTGCATCCAGATTGGACAGTAAGTCATCTAATCTCTGCAGTCTCGATGTAATTCACTGTGTCTACTGTGTACGACGCATTAATTTCACACGAGGAACCTTATATATGTAACTTGGAATTGCTATTTAGAAGTATGGAATCTAGAGAAACATATAGAATCATTATTTGAAACATTCAATTAGCTTTTCCAATACATTTTATGTGTGCAACATATGCCATATACGCCATTGAATAGAATTACTGTTAAAATGTAGCGTAGTTTGCACTTCTGTATTTTTAAATAATCATGTTTCAGACTGTTAAAAAGTCGTAATAAAAAATTCAGTAGGGCTTGCTTTTTTCTTTCTATGTAACGATACAGGAGGATTAAAAAAATATTGACAACTGTCCTCATTGTAGGAAGTGTCTACCAAATTTTACCTTTTTATCTTGTCTGAAATCTGAGAGAACAACCTCATTTTTACTCTCTTTTTTGGAAGAGTATTACTCAGAGGTAAAGGTGCATGTTTGTACGGCAGGACCTCCCTTAATTTTCGACAAAGGATCATTTCTTAAAATTTGTCTCATTTATTTAGAAACATCCTCTAGTATATGTTATCTGTAGTATATTTTATCTGTAGTACCAAACTGGATGGAGATTTAAAAAGCGGCCTGGAGTGGACCAATTTTTAGAAGCAGTTGCCCCACCACAATTTGAGATTGTGATTTATACAGCTGAACAAGGACTGGTATAACTATCGTCTTTCATTTTTATTTTGTTAATTAATTTCGAATATATTTGAAAGAAAATTTAGACTCAACATTTTTAACTTTATACATAGATGAAAATTCATAAATTTGTATATAAACAAATGTTTTTTTCCACTTACAGACTGTATTCCCCATTTTGGACGCACTTGATCCAAATGGATACATAATGTACAGATTAGTCAGAGATGCGACACGTTTTGTGGATGGGCATCATGTTAAGGACCTGGGTGCTCTCAATCGAGACCTTAGTAAAGTAATTATTATTGTGAAAATTTATTTCTTCTTGTTAGACTTGTATTCAGTGGCATTAAAATCCAAATCAAATCTCTAGTCTTTTTGCCTCCAATAATCTGAGGGTTTTGAGACTGTCAATTTTTTTCTGGGAGTAGGTCAGAAGTTAGGATACTCTCGAGAAGTAACGTTTGATTAAAGACTAACGATGCGTTTGATTGAATTTAAACTCGCATCTTTTTGGTTATTTATACAATGAGCAACGCGCATCTCTCTACGTCATGCCTGCCACTTTTGTTAGGCTTACGAAGACTATGCAGTTACTGTTACACATTATGATTACAGGTTATTGTTATCGACTGGAATGAAGAGAGTGTAAAGTTGCATCCTGAAAATGCATTCAAACTTCCTCGCTGGACCGGTAACGATGATGATACTACACTGTATGATCTAGCGGCATTCCTGAAAAGTAAGATTAATCTTACAGTTTTACGCCTTGAAACTTTCATGTAGCATTTACATCATTCATCATAGTTGCCACTTCTCTCCGAGAAGAGAGGTAGCAGCCGAAAAAACCAGCAGTATCCGGGCGGATTTAAACTCTTCTCGTTCATGTGTTTATTAAGCAGCGCACAGTTCTCTGTGCCACGCTCGCCACGCACAATACATCATTACTACTGATATAAAGTTTATATTCTTCACTTATGAAGATCAACACTTTTTATAATCTCTATCGATTAACAAAGATTTAATTTTATTCCACAGCGATATTAACATCAAATGTGCAAGATGTGCGAGACGTGTTAAATTATTATAGACAATTTGATAATCCGTTGGAAATGTTTAAAGAAAATCGAAGAAAATTTTTGGTAAGTTACCGTAAAATACGATAAGAATATATAATCAAATATTTGATTATATACATGTAACGACGATTATTGGCAGATGCAAATGGAGGAGGAGCAAAATAAGCAACAAGATAACAGCAAAGTACTTATCTCAACATGGAAGCCATCTTTCCTAAGGAACCGCTAGTCAAAATAAATCACGTTGAAATTTCAAACATTGTACATCATCCAAATATGTGACATGTTGCATTGTTTCGCCAGATATTATGCGCAACTCTTTTAATTTTTCTTATAATAAAATAAACTATGTTTCAAAAATGATTTTACTTATTTATAACACTTATAGCACAAATTAAATACTGCCAATACAATATCGATATAAATTACGTACAAAAATATAAATTTCAAATAATCATAGTTGTTCTTAATTATATAGAATATTTAAGTGTGCTTTCTCTTGCGAGTTGGTTCCAATGGTTCCAACTTAACTTTTGGCAACAGCATTTCTTGCAACACATTGCTGTCGTCAATGTACGCGAGATCATGTTCTTGCGACACACTAATTAATTCTTGAGTATTGATAGGGGTAGGTATATCAGGCTCGGCCTGTGATTGCGTGACAGGATGACTCGAGGTCGAAGATGCTAACCAGTTCAAAACTTTTTGATATGGTATCGTTTCTACCGGTGCGAGTACATCTTCGCGTATTTCCCAAGCTGCAAGAAGTTCTGGCGCTAATAGATCTATGTACGATCCCAACTTGGCTAATGATTGCTTCCAGGTAGGGTCGAAACTGTCGTCTGCATTTTCTTCAGACTTTAAACGAGCATTCAGCATTTTATTTGTAAAATCTGTAAAATCATTTTCAAGATTTGCGTTACTTAATAATTCAAAGTATATTTAAATAAATAAAAATTAAGATATTCCCTTACTTTCATATATATATTGCATATCGCACTTATCAGTAAGACTCAAGGGTACTAGCGGTTCAGCTTGGGCTGATAAGGCTTTCTCCCACATATTTAACGCGTAACAAGCTTCGCTATTTATAGGAGAATACTTGTCTAATGTGCTTTCGTGTGTTATACACTGATAAAATATGTCACCTGAAAATATAAAAAGATATACAGTATATATTTAAAGATAATATTCTGAAATATTAATATAGTGCATAAAATGCTTTGACAAATTATAATTTATACCAATAGAATTTTGGAGGAAGTAAAATATCTCGGCGTTTTTTACGTTACTGATTAATGTGCTGCCGGCGTTACACAATTCAAATCTGCTCTGTAAATACGGATTCAAGCACATTCCTTGCACTTGAGATTTATTTAACGTTTCTGCAATGTGTGGGGGTGTAAAAGGCAAATTAAAAGAATGAGACTTTTCCTCGTCCATCCACGTGTTCAAAATTATCGTGTTTTCGCCAGCCTTCTGAGTTGATAGAACAATTACTTCCTTGTCATCGCTGTAACAAATATGTGATATGATGCGATTGTAATGACAATTAGTTATTACAATTGAATTCTCATCGAGCATTATTAACCTGTTTGTTACAGCCGCCAACAGCGGAGTGTCTTTGAACTGATGCGTCCATTTTTGTCGTACACACTGCTTAGGAGAACGATTATCGCACAGTAAAAAGGAATGATAAGTGCCTAAATATCGACAGCAATTATGTTTACTCGGTGCTTCCACCGACAAACGTTCACAGTTTTCCAAATTAAATTTCGGACACAACGTGATACATGCTCGATTGAGAGCAATCTATAAACAGATACGATAAAACAATAATATTCTACTAATTTATAAAGTGGCAAATATATGTTATTAATAGGTAAATTCAGAAAATAACACTGACAATTTGTGAAATATCTATTCTATAAACAAGTGAATAAGTTTACAATCTTACCCTAGTATCAAGATAATGCAAGCAACACCTGTCCACGTAAATCAAAACGTTTGGATCAGTTTCCTGAAACCTTATGCACCCCCAAGCATCACGCTCACAAGTTTTATTATTATGTAGTAGAGAACCACTGTTAATATAATTTCTAGAAAAAAAGATACATTAACAGAAAAGAAATCAATATAAAAAAAGTTAAAATAAAAAATACTTACGCACTATTTATGTCCCATAAAAATATAATTCTTTCCGCATTCAGTGTGCAATGATGACTAATATTGGTTGAACTTAAGTCAGCACTGATATACGGTGTCTTTGATGCTTGCCTGTAAACTTCATTAAGCATCAAGTGATTCTCAGACTTGGATAGTGTGTAAAGAGTACATAGACCCTTGTGCCTCCCTAAAATTCTACCTGAAAACAAAGACATTCATTAGTATAAAAAATAAGCTCCTAAGTATTACAATTTTATCCTTTTTAAGAATTTAAGATTGTCGATACACCTACATGTGTCATTAGAAATCTTGCTTCGCCTAATCTCATACAGCAATCCAGGCAGTTTACATTTGGCTGAATTTTGCAGCAACGGCTTCCATATAAAATCTTTCATGGGCGTGATGTGCGCAGCAACTGCAAATATTTGCATACAAGAGAGAGATTGAAATACACATCTGTACAAATAATCATATACATTCATGAAGGTGTTCTATATTAGAACAGTACCTAAGTCTTCCATAAATGGAAAGAGCAGAACATCCCAGCTATTCAACGGAACGTAATTTAACGATCCACCAGTATAGTACCAGTTGTAAGTCTAAAAAGATAAATTATTAGCACTGTTCCATTGTGTTGTACGTAATTTATTTCTTCTATCTTTTGCAACGATAGTACCAAAGGTTCCCTAGTAGCACAGTGCATTGGCTAAACACTGGTCCAAGATTGGTTATATTAAAAATAGATTGGCCGATGTTGTTCAACGTAAAACTAATATTGGCCATGGAATAAATATAAATATTACACGATAATAATTATACAATATAATATCAGATTTATATTGAAAATGCATTGGCCAATATTTAACAATGTAATAAGAATATTGGTCTAATATCGATACAATATTAAACCAATGTTGCTAAATAAACATATTTGGCTAAATAAGAGTTGGCGTCGATCTTGCAATATTGGACCAATATTGGGAATACAGATTTACATCGTTTCCCAATATAGCACCAATATATTGTGGTACTAGGCTTTTGTTGTACTATCTTGTCGACAGTTTGATTAACAACTTGTTAAACGTACCCCTTCAAAATATGGATCCGGTTCCATGTCAATCAATTCCGCTATATCTGCGATATACCTAGGCACCTTCGCGCTGTATCCCTTACTTCCTCTCTTCCATCTTATGCTTTTCTTATACACCTTATTAAATTCTATCAATAATACATTTCGTCAAGTCAGTATCAAATATGCAAGTTGTTATTAATCCTTTTTACAAATGTACCTTTCTTATGTCTTTCATAATGCTTCATTATCCTATCTATATCGTCCTTTAAATGACTTTTCAAAGTAAGGAGCTGCAAGGCTGGATCCTCTTCGCTAAGCACTGCGAAACATTTAAAGAGAAAAAAATGTTGTATTCAATAAAACCAGGACCTAATCAGGATTTAATAAAGTCTTTTAAAAAGACCGTAAGAAATTTTAAGTCGCTCTTTAAAACTTTTAAAATATATTCGACAAGTAGCTCCCAAAGGAAAAGTTGCTTTCGACTTGTACAGTAGGAATCACTGATGTCTTCTCGCATGAATCTGTGCACGTATCAACAAATTTATACATTTTGCATATACATACATGGAAAATGTATATATTATACCTAAATTTATATGAGAAGGCATCAGTGATTCCTAGTAGTCAATTTGGTATCTTGCACTACAGTGAAAATTGCTCTCTGCGCGTTTAAATGCCTTCGACTTCAGCTCTTGCCGCTTCATGACTCGCTCAGGTCTACTCAATTTCTTTCGGAGTGAAAATACTAAAAGCGAGTAGCCTTGCCTCTAACTGTTCCCTTAAAAAGAGACAAAGCTGCTCGCTCTTAAAATTTTCACTTTAGTGTAAGATGCAGAATTGACCCCCTAGTGTGCATCAGTGCTGCAGTCGCAATTACCCGTTCTCGACAGCCTTGCTGGTGGCAGCAACGGCTTCGGCAAGTCGCAATTATACGGAAACTCTTGAAAGAGCCCCATCGCACTCTCCTCGTCCCATTTCTCGATACACGGTGATCTATTCAAGTTGTAACCCGGCACCACATGATGCGGATAGCTCTTCAAAAACGCAAGATTCAGCTTATTCAGCAGATTGCTCTCTGCGCGTTTAAATGCCTTCGACTTCAGCTCTTGCCGCTTCATGACTCGCTCAGGTCTACTCAATTTCCTTCGGAGTGAAACACGTGCACAAGTCCTTTTTATTCGTGGAATAATATACACAAAGTCCTTCCCTTTTCTTTGTACAGATGCCTTTGTTATCGTGACGCAACATCACTTTTGGAATGTATCACGAGATGTTCATCGCAGCCGCAATGAACAAATGAACGTTGACAGAACGTATAACAAAAAATCTATAATTCATTTGCGTAGCGTATTTGTCACAAACATCTTATTTATATGGCACCTGTCTTTTTTTTCAAGAGCAATACGGCCGGAGTCGAAGTCACAAGCACCTTCCATGCCAAACACGTGCGCGTCGCGCGTGGCCATAGATTCGATAACACCGAGAGACGCCTGCCACCACGAGAGAAACGCGAACTCGTTCTTACTTCCTGATTGGTCAGTAATAGCCATAGACATCAAATTTGTTGACGAGCAAACGTATATTACTTTTCATGGCACTTTGTATAACACCTCAGCATTAATCACACGCTACAGGAAAGGAAAGGCGAAAAATATATAATTGCACGAAGTTACTATTTGCACTCGGCACTCCTTGGAAATTTATCCGATTGTACGAATTTTACTCAACAGAAGCCGTCGATGTGTAAATGTCAAATTTAAATCTATCGATGAACAAATATTATAGCATATTTAAGCGCGAATAAGATTAATCGGAATATGACGTTCGAATAGCGCGCCTCGCCGCTTGCGTGTCTCGAGCCGCCGCGCCGCAGCGATCGTCGCTTGTTTGTCTTGAGCCGCCGCGGCCGCAGTGACGTCACTTGTTTGCCTCGAGCCGCCGCGGCCGCAGCGATCGTCGCTTGTTTGTCTCGAGCCGCCGCGGCCGCTGCGCGCCAAGGTCAGGGAATGTTCCGTGCGCCGCACTACCGTTCGAGCCGCCGGCACGTACGCAACGCCGTACACAGTGTGTGAGCCGAATGCCAAGGGAATAGATCGCGTACGCCACGGGGCGATTTGCGCGATCTCCGCGCAATTAAGCGACGCCACGGCTACGCGAGCGTGCACTAGGAGATACGGCAGGCGGACCGTCAAATCGCCGTCTACCGTTCGCACTCGCTATTCCTCCGACGTGACTCGAATAGAGGAAAGCCGCAAGTTTGTCGATTATTCGTTAATTCATTAACAGACGTGTGAATTCAAGTGTGCGTTTATGTGAGATACTTATGTCGCGCGAGCGATATCAAAGTGATATTCAAGTCGCGTCGCTGACTCGACTCGCGTAGTGCCGCGCAGCAGCGCGGGGGTCGCCGGGTACCGGCGCCATGTTGGTTCGTTCGAGAAGCATCGCGGAGCGTCGCGGACACGTAGCGGACCGGTCTCCTGCGCCATCGGTCGTCGCAACGCTTCTCACGACGGTGGTGAGTGTAACGTTGATCAGGTTTAGCAATCGCGGCGTGGATCATTTGATACTCAGGCGTCGGCGATCTACCGGGACGCGTAAATCTCGCGCGAAGCCCCGGCCGGAATCTTTCTCGCAGCCAGATTCTCGCGGTGCCGCGAGTATCCGAGCTTCAATTTTGCACACTCGCATCTCCTCGCACGTGCAGAAATATCCGAGTTTTCCGCGCGTGACGCGCGGCGAGAGGAATGTTCGCGCGAGATCATCCCGTTGAACGCTCGCGTTCGGTTACGAGACGTGTCAAGCCTCGCGTATCTCCGAGTCCGTCTCGCCGGATCGTTCCCGCCGTTTCACGCAACGCCATCGTGACGGCTCGTATTTCCGTGTACGATCGTCTTTTTTTCTCGTTCTCGTAACGGATCTCGCGTCGGTTAACGCCGGGAGTGTCGTGTCGGGAGTGCCGGGAGTGTCGCGAGTGCCACGATTGTCGCAAATGCCGTGTCGCGAGTGCCACGACTGTCGCAAATGCCGTGTCGCGAGTGCCACGATTGTCGCAAATGCCGTGTCGCAAGTGCCACGAATGTCGCAAATGCCGTGTCGCGAGTGCCGTGCCGCAAGTGCCACGATTGTCACGAGTGCCACGATTGTCGCAAATGCCGTGTCGCGACCCAGTGAGAAATGATTTGTCGATCGATGTCGAAATGATGTCGAATCGACATCGATACCGTCAAATTGACGTCGATTCGACATCGTTTCGACATCGATCGACGAATCATTTCTCACTGGGGAGTGTCGCGAGTGCCGATCGTGATTGCCAGTGTGAAATCTGCGAGGAATCTGAGAGGAAGCGGCGGCCTGGGAGGCATCGGGCGACAGCGGAGCAACCCTCTGGTGAATACAATTATTTATGCATTAATCTTGCGTCAACTTCATTCCGCGGATTGCTTTTATTCGCTTTTCCGTTTATTTGACTCGACCGTTCGAACGATTCGAGCGAACATTCGTCAAATATTGTTCCGTGGAAAAGATTCGCGTAAATAATGTACTGAAACGCGCGGTCCACGTAGATCTAAATAAAGTTTACGACTCAATTCTGCCGTTCCTATTATCATTATACATATCTCGGACGAAATCTTGTTAACAATAATTATACGTACCTCGCCTTGACCCGGGCCTTTGGCGATCTGTTTATTAATCTGTGTCTCAATCATGTAATATCTAATTATATCCGATTGTAAAATCATCAGAGATCTGACACTTTTATTGAATATTTAATGTTATTATCTATTAAGGTCTAATTATGTTCTCTTAGGATATTTTATAGATTTAGTTAGATTTCAACAGATATCATCGAACATTCAAGGAAAGTGTAAAATCTCAGAGGATCTGACGATTTTTATAACAGAATTGGATCTCGTGAGATATGTTATTATATAGAGAGATATAATAATTAGATATTACATGATTAAGACATATATAATGAGGTTTTCCATTTTTTTCCGGGTCTACTGTGGCCCCACCCCCTTAGAAAGGATTTCTGTTACTGAAACAAAAAATACTCCATAACAAGATTTTTTTCCCCAGTGTACTATTCCTAAAATAAAATTCTGACCGATTGCAACCCCACACCCTCAGAAAGGATTTCTGTTACCGAGATAAAAAATATTCTTGACACATTTATATTTCTCACAACTTCATTTAGTATAAAAATGAGACAATATCAAAATAAAATTAATAATTCTTATTCTCCTCTATCGAATCAAAAAGATTGACTTACTATACATATTGAGACAAGAGTAATTTAAATTAATGTAAGTTTATATATTCTTGCGTTTAGAATTAATTTTCCCTCTATCTTACAATACACGAAGTTGGCATCACGATATTCGACAAAAGACGACGCATATTATTATTTTATTCTAGATTTTAGAATTTTTCATTTAAGATTAAAATATTCACAATGGCTTGTATGATGAAATTGAGTAGTAAAAAAGGGCTCATAGCCCAAACAAGATCCATTAAAATAATTTTAATTACAAATGCATATATGTAAGTATACGTTTCGGTCCTTATTGGACCATCCTCAGTATAAAATAGAGATAAATTCGATTTAACACATGGATGGATTCGCAACCTGCATCCACGTGTTAAATCTAGAATAAAATAATAGTATGCGTCGTCTTTTGTCGAATATCGTGATGCCAACTTTGTGTGTTGTAAGATAGAGGGAAAATTAATTCTAAACGCAAGAATAGGTAAACTTACATTTATTTAAATTACTCTTGTCTCAATATATAATAGTAAGTCAATTTTTTTATTCGATAGAGGAGAATAAGAATGATTAATTTTATTTTGATATTCTCTCAATTTTAATTACAAATGCATATATACGTTTCGGCCCTTATTGGACCATCCTCAGTATAAAGAAGAAATAAATTCGATTTAACACATGGATGGATTCGCAACCTGCATCCACGTGTTAAATCGAATTTATCTCTTCTTTATACTGAGGATGGTCCAATAAGGACCGAAACGTAATATGCATTTGTAATTAAAATTATTTTATTGAACACTACAACCTTGTTCAGACTCTGAGCCCTTTTTTTATTACTTTATTAAAATATTCCGTTCTCTATAATAAATATGATTGGCCCTATATCGATCCTATTTTATGATACATTGAAGTGTAATAGCATTGGGTCCGGAAATTTTTTCTGTGGGTGCATATTCTAAATCCTCTTTTATCTTTTATCATTATTTCCTTCATTGTTGGTTTTCTTGAACACTTTTTAATAGAAATTTTATAATTGTTTGTTACAGATTCACCGTAGATAACTCCGCTGCTGCGCGTCGAGTCGGTGAGTAACAAGTTTTTTTTACTACGGTAACGAATCTACATTTCTTAGATCGTAGATCGTAGTTCGTAGTTCGTAGAACGTAGAGCGTACATTGTAGAACGAACATTCTGTAGATTCGTTACCGGAAAATGGATAGGTTACATTATAACTTCATTTTCTATTGGATATATTTAATCTATCAAAAAGTATTTTTCTCAATAAATATTCACTTGTGACCTATCCATTTTTTATCAACATATTAATATGTAATGTAAAAGAATATGACGTGAGATGCTAAATATTTTGTCGAGAACACTCAAACAATTCAAATTATTATTATACATTATTATCGGTTATTGATTACCTATAATATCCAATTACAATATCAGTATCTATCGTGCAGGAAGGTTCTTCAATTCTGGATCTCACGTCATTTATTGTGTATACATATATGTATGTATCTCGCGATACACCTTCAAGATGCGTCTCGCATGAACAACATGCATATTCATACGCATCTTCATACATCCGCGGTCGGTTTTCGCGTTTGAGTTTCGCGATTAGTTTTTAAAACATTTTCAAGATATTAGTACTTGTTTAATTTCATTCATATTAGAATATTAATTTATCGCGGAACATAATTAAAATTAATATAACGCGAAGTAAAATGTTTTCTGTGCATACTTGAATTTTGAATTCAAAGATCGAGTCACGAAGAGACGGTTAATACTCTCGAGTAAATAACGGAAGTAGAAATATATTTAATTAGTTTTATACAGCAAATTTTTTCGAATTCAAATTCCTTTTTAATTAACTTCTCGTAGCCGCGTATTTTTCGATACGATCGACGCTCGTATACAATTAAAATCGTACGTAATATCTGTCGGTGACGATAACAAACCGACTATGGAAGGAGTTTTCTTCCTTCTTGATCTCTGGTCAAAATGACCAGACTGTATGGCCAGGATCAACAAAAGGTACGTTCAATCTGGCCCAACGAAAGAAGACTGGATAAAACGAGATAAGTGGTCAATATTGGCCACTCTGATAGAGTATGTACGGTGATGTAAAAAAGAACTTGATTTCTTTTATTTGACAAAATTCAGGTGGGTTATTCTTTTTTATATATCCTCGCATATGTGCGAGATTGAAAAGACCCCTATTAAATCCCAATCGCGCGCGTATTATAATCCCAAATCGGATCATTTATAATATAAATCACGTCGCGGTTTTAATAAAAGACTTTTAAGTCTATTAAGTTGAAACACGGGTAGGTAGGAAAATGGATAGGACTATACAACGAAATACGGGTAGGTAGGGATACAAAAACTATATTTATTATTATAACATTATGAAATATGTATATTATTATGTATGATAATGTAATATTGAGTCTGTGCATAAGTCCGTGCAGAAAATCAAGTATATTTCAAACGCAAAATCGGCACGGACTTATGCACAGACCCAATACGAACAAATATAATTATATTTGTTATTACTTTCATTAAAACAACTTTACAGTTAATATAGTTGCAATAAAGTGCATTAAATTATACTAAAATAATTATTAGGAATATTACACGCAGATAAGAGTTTGTTTGAAATATGTAACCTTATCTGTCTTTTGATTGCTTGATAAGGACCGGATTCTTGGTCGAAACGTCGCAACTAATGTAACACTCCATCAATTATATTGCCAGTTGGATCAACTAAAGTCTTAATCGTATTTATTCATCACTGGTGACTTGAAACATACCCCTCTACTGTTGCTTATCTGTCTTTTTATATTTATGTATACAATATTACCCAAAAATTATTAAAAAAGTAAATCGTTATAAAAATGTAAAAGCATAATTATTGCAAACAAAAGAGGACCGCCGATAAGAATTCGGCGGGGGTGGTGGAGGGCCTCTACAATGTGGTCCATTTTTATCGGATAAACATTTCATCCTATATAAAAATCCGTTTTTATCGGATAAACATTTAATAATCCTATATAAAAAAGGCGTGTTAAGTCGATAGTCGAAAGTCGCGAAGTATTGTCGCTTTTCCGAGATACTGATTGGCTGTCTCGCTTGTGCGATACAATATTAATGCTTGAGTCGTGTTATTTGCAGCTGTCAAACCATGCACAATTTTAGAGAGAGTAAATAACGCGCGCTTGTGTTGTCTAGTTTAAATTAAAAAGAGAGATAACATTTTATTACTAACTAGAAAAGTGCAAAGTTTAATTTATTAGAATGCAATCGTATTGATTGCCCGATATAAACGGAGCAATTTTGTATGTTCAAAACAATATTTAAATAATTTTCTAGGAAATATCGAGAACGGTCTGCTGCAAATTTCATTGACAAAAAGAGTACAAGTTTAATACAAGTTCTGACACATTTAATTATACCCAAAGGATAGTAGAAATAAAGCATGTGAATTAAAAATGGGTTGTAAAACAAATTATACTAAATAGAAATTGCTATGCTGATTTTGCAATTATCTGAACAATTAATTAGACATTAATTAATAAGAATCTGCGTATAACCGTACATCCGATTCAGTGTTAAATGACGGCTCAATCTGACGCGTTATTCGTAGTTACTAAACGCGTACACATTTCAGCAGGTTTGGGAAAGGTACTTTATAAAAGTATTTAGTTACAGTTGCAGTTTTCTCGCTAAAAATGTAACTAGTTACAGTTACAAGTTCCAATTACCAATTCTGAAAAGTAACGCGTTATAGTTACAATTACTCAAAAAGTAACGAATCGTTACTTTGCAGTTACTTTCTTGCAATAAAAATAAAAATATCAAATCTGCATTTAAATTGTTATGTGTTGATAAAGGCGTTTATGCGCTTATGCAAGGGCTAATGTGGAGGTTTAAGAAATATATGAAGTAACTATTAATGTAACTATTAAATTAGTTACTAATTGTCGAAAAAAATGTAACTGAGTTAAGTTACAGTTATAGACGGGGAGAAAGTAACGAAGTTAAGTTAGAGTTACCTAAAAGAAGTAATTGTAACTGTAACGAGTTACGTCCTATCGTGGTCGTTACTTCGGATGGACATGCCTTCTAACATAGTTCTCCGAGTGACGCCCAGAGATGGATGTCAAATTCCTGTGCTTTTTAGTTTAATATCAATGACGTAATATTATTGTTGAATTCCTTAAGAAGGACCACAACCCGTATGGTCAAAACGTCGGATTTAAATAAAGTAACCATCTGTCAGCCTAAAGTCTCGAAATAGAATCTATCTCATTATTTACTATAACGGCGACATAACTTGTCAATACTAGAAAAGTTGCCTCATCATTTTTGTCAGATTTTAAAAGATTTATTATTCTACATAAAAAAACAGAAGATTTTGTCGTTTTAAAAGCGCAAGAATGCCGATTACAGTTACATAGCGAGAAGTAATTTAAACATTACAAGCAAGATATCGGAAATAAAAAGGCTTGTAAATGTTACAGAATTTTATTTTTATACGATAGTTTCCACATTACACTACGCATTGTAGCAAGAGTTCTAATGATAAATAATTTTTATTGTCGGAGAAAGATACATATATGTGAGTATCGAGCTGAAACGCTGTTATTATATACTTGATGGAACAATGTCGGTATGCCTTCGAAAGATTTGAATACATTCTACCATAGATATCGGTACCATAGATATCGGTATTATGTAAAAGGTTCAAATACGCTCAGGATAATATCGATATTACAATTGTTACTTGATTGGAATACGTTGCTAACAATTATCTGAAATGCATCTATAATTGTCGTAAAACTCGATATTACTTATTCTTTTTTTTAATTATATTTCGCGATAAAACGATATTTAGACATTGAATTGACTAAGTTTCATAAATACGCATTGAAATTAATCCCTAAATATACAGAATAAAAAGTAATAGCGGAATGAAGTCCCGCTAGAATGTGATACTCTCAGGATTCGAAGTTAGCATATAGGACGATGTCTCCACCTCTTATATTAAGCTCTGATCTCGCGTTTTAATATCCAATATTTAAGTATCATAAAACTCTATATGCGACCCGAAATTTTTAACGGGCCCCGAAAAAATTACAAAAAGATATATCGACTTCAACGTTGTCAAGGAAAACATTTTACAATACAATTAAACTATGATACCCTCGTACAGTTTTGTTTTCGCAGTGACGTATAATATTAACGTTTCTCGTGCGCCAAGTCATTCCCCTCTGCTCTTGGAGACAAAGTCTATCGTTTATAATTACATGTACTATTTCGCAAGTCTATATACACGTTGTACGTCGACGGTAGTATTATTTGCATGTGTATTCCTCGATACGCTCCAAGCAAGTCTCGCAGTGTACGCGGCAACACCAGTGAAACTTGCACCTGCACTGCCAGGTCCTCGTGAATTGATGGGTGTTGTAGCCGCGGCCGCAGCACATTAAATCACATCCATCGGTCCCTAAAGACAAAAAGACGATGTCTGTCGTGAGCGAGAAAGAACATGACTTGTTGAAGAATTGTCGCTTAATTTTCATACATCATCGTTCGATAGTTAAACTGAATATCGAGTTAGAACGAGGAATCTGAAGCGGCCAACTTTCTCCTTTACCTTTACTAGTACGGTTGCAGTATCTGCCCTGCGTGCCGAGGCTGCCCTGCGACAAATCTGGCTCGCAGTAATTGGGGGAGAGTTGAAGGAAAACTAGCTCGTTTCTTCTTGGAATTCTTCTCAGGCTTATACTCGGTCCACCGCTGACTTTCGTCCTCTTCAGGATCAAGTGCGGCCTCCGAGACTTGCCGGTCTTTTTCAACAGCGGCTGTCGATTGTGCCGCGACTTGACGAAATCGTTCGGCTTGCCCTGAGTTTTGGCGTCGTTTCCCAATATGGGCACCATTTCCGGCAGCATTGAATGCGACATCGTGTCCAGTGTCTGTAAATTATGGGCCGTGTAAAACGATTTGCGTTGAATTTCGAAAACTGACATTGGGAACACTACACTGAAAGAATATCCTCTTAAAATTTACCCTGAAAATCATATAATCGTGGGACAACATGGCATTTTGAAGAACTGTGTGATAGTCTTTTGAAATTTTATTATACATTCTACTAGTAAAATGTATAGTAAAATTTCAAAAAACTGTCATAAAATTCTTTGAAATGCCGCGTTGTCCCGCGATTATGATTTTTAGGGTAAATTTTAAGAGAAAATTCTCTCACAGTGTAGTGTTCCCATTGCGCTTTCAAAATTCAATTACATGATCTCCAGGATAAATTTTAAGAAAAAATTCTCTCCGTGTATTAAATAAAAACAAGAGCGATCACTAAAACGTTTGATTTATATATTGAGCGTATTTTTGAATCGATCACCGATTTACTCGCATTTTTCATAGAACAAGCTACCTGAACTGTGGGCGGAGGAGGCGGTGTAACGGCGATAACGGCTTTAGCTTTGTTATATTTTGACATAAGCGAGTCGCCGATCGCACGGAAACTGGGTAACGTTCGCCAACACGTTTTCACGGTGCAAGAGCCAGAGACACCGTGACACTTGCACTCCTTTCTCAAATGAGCCTTGACTGTCTGAAAAGATAAAACATTACAAGTAAAATAACTCCCGTTTATCATGCGGTTCTCCACGGTCTCTTCATTATCGTCCGACAATTGATATTCAATTTTAACCCTTTCACAACTACTGGGACAAAAATGTAAGTCTCACTTGCATTTCTTTGCCTCTTGATTTCTTGGGATGCTAGTGTCCTACTTAAAAAAACATAAACGAAAAATATTTCAGTCATGAAAGGGTTAACTAATTTCGAACCAAATGCAGTACAATATTAAAAGATAAAACGTTACTTGGATTACATAGATTGTGATATATTTCATTCAGCAGAAAAGGATTTCTACTATTCTTCGTATTGATTTCACAAGTCCAAATATATGACAGAGGCTTGTATAAGGACATCGAAATGCGTCTATATATCATATCGAAACAGATTGCAACTTACACCCGTGCGCTTAATAAAGCGTACATCGATTTGTTCCTTTGCATTATACACGCGTATCCTATGCAAATTTCAAATCTACACATGCGATCGGGGCCTTTTTGGTCGGGAACGAGGACGAGGATGAAAACAAAAACTTACAATGCGTCCGATGAGAATGAATGCGTCGTCCGATGCTTGAATCATTTTCAAACGATACACACGGATCCATTACGAAGAAATCAATGGCGTAGAGCCTCAACTGTCATAATATTATACATAATTCAGTTGTCTTAGCAATCTTGCGTGAAATATTTTTCACTATGTTTTTTTTTATCACATTCAGAAGCACTAAAAAAGCCTATGACTTTGTACGCATGCATAATGCAAATTAGAATAGTTAAAGTAAAATCCGTGTAATATCTGAATATCGCCTGAATCTCTCTGTTCTTAAGTTGGCGTATTTCAAGTCTTAGCACTTTCATATTCCTAACGTTTTGAAAAAGATTTTTATTATTGAATGTCCATTTCTGCGAGGAGAGTGCTACGTTGTTTTATATCACTTTATTAATTCTTTAATTTTCATTTGTTGCTCATTCTAATCACAGATTAATTATATTATTCTTCGATTGAAACTTCTTTTAGTGAAGAACCAAACCTGGGCTTTGTCAGGTTACCATTCTGCTACTAGGCAATCTTCTTATTCTTCCATGTTAGCTTTCTTTTACTGTCCTAGCTTTCTCTTACTATTTCGTTGATTTATATTTTTCGCTTGACCATGCATACGTAAAATGTCACAATCGCTTTGCGTATGGTAATTTTATTTCACGTAGTAGAACGAAATAAGACTGCAGGCAAGCATTGGAAATTGAAGTGCGAAATCTTTCTAACTCCGATTGTAAGAATAAGAGGTTTCGCTCGTATAATATATTCCTCATAGATACGCAGACATGTACGTCCGTTCGAATGGTCATCAAGTCACGCGTTCTCGCGTTCTCTCTTACGGGAACAATTACGGGGCTCCTTGAAATAATTGGCAGCGCGGATTTCGCATCGCCACGCCACTGGCGCGGGAGATGCATTTCGATTAACTCGACGGTGATCTTAAACGGTTGTAATCGTATCGAATGTTCATCTGCAAAATCCTACGCACGCTCGATTCCCCGATGGGGACCCTTCATTGTGCGCGCCGGCCGCGCGGACACGACGCGTACGCGCATGAAACTGGTTTAACATTTCGAATTATTCCGCACGCCGGTGCGGTGCCACATACGGTGGAGGCTTAAAAAAATCCTCAAGGCATAAAATATGTGGCGCGCCGGGGCGATCAACGTTAAGAATAAATCATTACCTCCGGGAGTATATACACGCGTATACACGTACACGTACGCGGATCAGCGGCGGGTTTTTATTGCCCGCTTGTAATAAGGGCCGATCGAGGTAGACGAAAGCTCGAGACGAACTTTCCCCAATTAAGGCGCGCCGCCCTCGCCACTTCACCTTCGGGCATAACGCGATTGTTTCTCACAAACGCTCCTTTTCGCTCATCAACCTTGCCGCGCGCGAGCGTGATAACGATGTGAAAAAAGGAGCCGTAGATTAGATCGGAAAGAGGAATTTAATTCTACGGTAATTTTTTGCATTCCCTTTCTCTCCTCTCTTCTCTCCCCCTTCCGTTCTATCCGTCTCTTTCTTTTTCTCTTCCGAAATAAAAATTACCATAGACAGAACATTAAGACATCCAGATATACGCAGAGCGAACGTCTATGCCAATCGCAGGACGACGATATTGTCTTCTTCGGTATAATTGGCTTCCCGCGTAGGTTATTGGGCGATAAATCAAAATTGATAATACCTGATTTGCATAGACTTGATGAGTGACGGACGTGTCTCATTATCGATGTTATCACCTTGTTATTCGATCTAATCCGTTGCCCACGGTTTTCGCGCAAGTTAACACGTCAGGTTGAATCTCTATGACGATTTTCCAAAATGTTAACGTGCTGACACGCACTTGTATAGTTGGACAACTTTTATTTGACATCCTAACTTTTCGCGATAATATTATAATTCTTAAGCTATTCGCTTCGTGCGATGATATATTATAGCGGAAAAGTAGGACTTAGGGCGCTCATGGTGGCCGAAGTTTGCATTATTTGCTGGAGTGACAATTATCGAAAAATGGAAAAATTGCGAAAGGGAAATTTTAATTGTTGCGTGTATTCATGTAAAAATGTATTTCACAGATTTGAAATGTCTTTAAGACGACATAACGTTATCTGGGATTTTACTTTTTCATTTAATACTTACATGTAATTATATACCTTGTACGGAGTAGCATTGACAGACGTTTGCGGTATCACACTGCATCTTATTAAATGACTTATATTTTCACTGCGCAATTCTTCAACGCGAACTACATGCGATATTGGCTTTTCCTTTCGGTATTGCACTCGGATTAAATTTAACGTCATGAATAATGGGTCCAAAGCCCGTTCGTATGATAAGGCTCATTGCAAAAGTTAGAGAAGTTAACCTACGCATATAATGAAAAATCTATAGCAAATGTTTTGTAATATAACGAAAATTTTTTCATCGAAGTTATAAAGAGACCTAAAACTATCAAGATACCTCACGACAGTTTACCTAACTTGAATATTAGCAATCATTGACAGCTATTCCCGCCAAATATGCGACATTTCACCAACCGCGGCAGCACTAGTCTCTACGCACACAGCGAATTGTTTTTTTCAATAATTTTTCACATGGCCACGTAACAATGTAATCATACATAGAACGAGATCAAACATTCCGCATATCGGTGCGACACAAAACTGAGGAGAAAGAATGTTAGGAATAAGCAAGTTGGTTTTCTTACGACGTATTAAAAGTACAGAAGATTGACTGCCTTGCATAAGAAACCGCGGACTTCGTAGCAATCAGTTGACAAGCGTAAACATTTAGACATACGAAGCAAATTAAATTTTAGGGGAACGGCGGTGTGTCCGCTTCAATTATATTGTATACCCGTCGTTTAATATGCTATTATACAATCTTGGAATCTCGCATAATATAATCACGCGACAGGGTGATTGAGAAATGGCCGAGTGCCGTGCCGTCGTCAAATGCCGGCGAGCTTAATCTCCGCGCTAAACGATTTCTCTTGCGAGTTACAGTAATTAGTATTGCTTCACGGCAATTATGACGCTCATTACATAGTGTTACTTTCTGCTGACGCGTATTTTATGACTCGCGACGCCCGCGCCTGGACACCTCTCATGAGAGAGGCTATCGGCCTTTTTTTTAAAATAACATTACGAAGGTAAAGAACGCTACTATTAATTACTGCGCTCACCTTTCTTCCGGCTCTATTGTTGTGAAGGTTCATCAGGCTCCGGGCGTCCCCTTCGATCTCCCTCGCATCCAGAAACCTACGCGCGAACCTAACATTAAATTATAATATTAAAATTTATGCGTGTTTTAGCGTTCGCCGTACTTGTGACGTATCCGCGCCCCGTCGCGAGCAACCTGGCGTAAGAAGCGACGGGAATTGATAGTGCAAATTAATTAACCATCAGCTTAATTACCTTATCCCATACGTGATGTCGGCGCTGCAGCCACCCCATTCCCAGCCGTGCGGCGGCAATTCCTTCCTCGTCCTACAAAAACGCGATATTAATCGGTAATAATTAACACGTTGCGTGCTGCGCGCGAAACGTCGCGGGATTTATAGCTACCTTACAGCCGGTTCGCAACCGCAAGCTGTGATGTTGCCACGGCTGCAAGCCGCGGTCACCGCGTATGTGACACCGGCCGAGCTTATCGCGTACGTGAAAGCCGCTTCTCTGCTACCTGCGAATAAAAAAGAAGAAGTTAATTTTCTCGCTCTTTTATCCCAGCGTATAGATTAGAGGTTCGAATTTAATTTTTATACGAGGGAAGTTCTCTCTAAAATTCAATCAGTCGATTATCACTGATACCAGTGCACAGTGAATAGTTGCAGTGGTATTCTTGCAACCAAAGGGGTAACCACTAGCTAAAATGTTGTCCCACCGATTACATGATTTCATTTGATTTCATCTGATTACAAATAATCTCATCTAATTGCAAATAATTTTCTCTTGTATGTACGTTTAAAAATAAGTGACGTTGTGAAACCTCAAAAAGCTGTTGGATTTCCTTAAAATATATTTTTCTTATTTTACTAAGAAGTATTTGCTTGCAGAAGTAATTTCAGTTAATATTGTAGTATTCGGTTAGGTAGAAAACGTATATTTCCTTGCTTTCCTACTTTTTCCACTACTCTAACCGTGGTCTTAATTAATGAAAAGTAATTTTGTATTTTCTCGCTGTTGTTCTAACAGCAACTGCTTCAGTCTTATTATGAAAAGAACATGCGCTTATAGGTGTGAACTTTGATATATATTTGGATATTCACTAAGAGAAGTAAATTTTTTTGGAAAATGAAAACAAGCAATGAGAAAATGTTGAAGTTTAATGTTTATTGTCTAACAAGTGATGAAACTTGAAAATGAAGACAAAACGATTACACGGGGATTTCATAAGGATTTTATAATGATTTTGGAGACACTAGCCCACGATTACATCAAGTGGTTACCCCCTTGCTTGCAACTGCAAATCAGTGACTATTCACTGTTTTCAGTGATAATTCGCTGACTGATTTTTAGAGACTTGGAAGGATAAAGCAAATTTGAGAGAGCTTACAGAACCAAACTGGTTGTGTTTCCAATTTACTTTTGACACGCACACAGTTTTATTTTACGGAAGAATAAAATTTGACAAAGCTTAAAAAATGCAAATTGATTATGTTCCTAGTTTAGTTCTGATCTTTTGTTTTATAGAAGAATACAATTTGAAGAAAACATTATATATAATCTAGGTATTTATAATAATTTAATGTCTAATGTGCCTGCATACCGTGAATCGTGGCTCATTTCAAACACGCACGTCGACCGTTCCGAAACTCGAGCCTCGCGACAGCAGGCACATTGAAACAGACGGACGGCTGCCTTGTCAAGTATTTCCATCACGTGAATTTACTACAACTAGACGCTCGCCATCGCACCACGCGCGCAAAGCGCGAACGCAATTAATTACGCCATGCTCTCAGCTCGTTTACCGTGTCGAATGAATTATCGTACGTCCGTTTCCTCACGATGCTCATTTTTCACTCCATTATCATAGTCGACACCTACGCGCCGCTCTGTCACGAATCTGTCCGAGCCGGTTGGCGTTTCACTCTATCGCCATCAAACTCGTCCAGCTTTTAATTCGTTTGTCAGTGCTTGCCAGGACCTGCGATAATCTCTCGCGCAGATATGGATAAAATCTTTACTGGTTGAAGAAGAAGTACATAAATATTTTTTAGATCAATAAAACTTATAAAGACATCTAATACTTTGCGAACCTTTGGGAATCGCATCATTTTACTATTCTGTTAAACTATTGTATTACCATCGCGATGAATACGAGATTGGTAAGACAACCAGGCCTTTGTCGTAAAGTTGCAGTCACAATACTGTGCACTTTGTGCTAGTGGTCTTAATTATTCGAAGTTTTCAAATTTTTCAAAGATTCGGAGCCTCGAAGCTTCCAAGTTTCGAATATTCGAAGTCAACTAATGCATTAACGATAAGTTTTCAAAGATCGACCTGATTTATCACCTGTATTGGTGACTGAGGATAGACTATCAAATTTATATAGATGACAGTGAGTGAGATACAAGAAGTGAGAAACTTTTATACCCGGATTATACACCAATATTACAAACTTGCGTCACACATAAATCAAAAGATTCCAGTTCAACGATCAACTAACATTTCGTATATTCATTTAATTACACTACTGTCCCTATCTTCTATTCTCGTGTTTCAAATCAAGGCAGTCGGTCACAATAAATATATATAGGTATAGTCGTTCTCAACGTCTCTCGAGGGTGAATTCGCGACGACGACGAATTGTGTTTTTATGAGCGAATTTTTCGAAACTTCGAATCTTCGAAAAATTTGAAAACTTCAATTCTCGAAGAATTTACAAGGCTTCGAGTCTTCGAAGATTCGAAGTCTCGAAGTTGAAAATTTTCAAAGAGAAATCCCAGCTCTACTTTGTGCATCGTCCAGTTTCTATCATTTCCAGATAACATAATAAGATGAAGCATGTCTCCCCAGAGATGAAAGGTGTATTATAAATCGTTTCACTTGGCCGATTTCCTTAGAATCTTTAGATGTTCCGCTGCTTTCGAGCATATCTCGTTTTGTTAAATAAAAGATGGAGGGAATTAAGAAAACTTTGAGCGATTTGCGAGAGATTGTCGCGTACCCGTTTGCGCGGGCATTATCCGAGCATTGTGTACCTCGCGAGCGGCCGCTCCGGGACGCGTCGTGAGGAAAGCTGATTGTGCGCGGCGACACCAACGGACACCATCGGTCAAAAGGTTGATGAATTTATGCTGAGCGTTTATGTCAAAGGACGGCAGCGCGGGCATCTATTTAGCGTCAGACGAGCTGGTAAGGGGTAAATTTATCGTTTCGTTGGCGTTGCCGCGTCGCAGCAGCTCCTCTCTCGCTCCTTCTCTCTTCGCGCTCGCTCCGATGGACGAGGAGAGGTGTCCTTTCCATAAATTCATTTCAGCTGTAAAACGTGAACGCGCCAAATGAGCACGGCTTCCATATTAGGGCCCGGCTCATGGCGATACCGAAGAGTCGTTGTTCATGCCGAACGGGCAATGCGAATGGCGAGAGTAGGCCTCAATCTATTTGCAACGTGTACACGTGTATGTACACGCACATAGTTCCGTGCACGTGCGTGTATTTGTGTGTCACATTATCCGCGCACTTATTAACGTCTGAAAATATTGCGGAGCGGCAAGTAAAACGAGAATGGATTATCTTCTTGCGACGTGGAATAATGTTCTTGTTAAAATTGATCCTCTTTCAAATGACCGCGTCTCGTACAAAAAGCCGAGGAATTATTGTTCGTTATTCGCACCCGATATTTACATCCCAAGATCTCGATTGTATTTGATTGTTTCATAATATACATTTCGTAAATTAAAGTGAAAGTAAAGGACGATATCGTCAAGTGGTAGGCACGCACATTTAAATGGTAGAGATGAAAAAAAAAGAAGGAACAGCGCGAAAGAGGAACGGCCCCGTGATCGATCGTTATACCCACGATCTTTTAATTTATATCATTGCATTTTAAGTGACTCGCGTAATAGCCACGCGAAATTTATAAGCCACCGCGTCACCGAACGTGGGCGATTATTTACGGTGCTCGTGCGACGCGTACTCAAATTTAATAATGAGCGCGTAGTTGATCTCATCGCGACTCTTCGTTTATCGCATTATTCTTTTCTCAGCGATGGGGTCATTTATCGATCAAAGACGTTATTAATGCGGGGATATAAACCTTACACGCGTCCGCATATACAGCTTTCACCCGACGGTGCACAAATTTTATATCTCGTCAAGTCGAAAAAAATTATGATTCGTATTTTTATTTCATATCAATCGGTGCATCTACTCAGAATTTGTGCAGAATATTCTACACTGATAAAAAAATATCTTAATCCAAAAAAAGGTTACTTTACTCAAGAAAATGATTCATTAGGTGGCTCCTAATAGCTTATTAACTTAAATTTTAAAAATAATAAGCAAAATAAAACGCATTTCTTTAATTTAAGTATTTATTAAATATCAAACAGTAGATAATTTTAAATTTAAAAAATTTTACTTTAATTCCATAAAATGTTTACTAAGATATAAGTTTTACAGCGAAGAAAATTGAATTTTTTATTTGACACAAACAATGATTTCATTTAATAAATAATATTCTCTATCGCACGAAATCTTTAGTTGAATGTAGAAAATGTAGTGATTTAAATTAATTTACTTAATATAATACACAGATTTACGTGAAATTTGATATTTTCATTTAAATAGAATAAATATTTACTTCAGTAAAAAATAATTTTAAGTAAACCTATTTACTTATTGTTAGTTCTAAAAATTTTTTTTGTTAGTGTACCTTCTCTCTAAAAGTCAATCAGTGAATTATCACTGAAAATTCTGTGATTTACAGTTATAAGTATAGCACTGAATTGTTCAGTGCTATACTTTTCAGTGACAATGCACTGATTAACTTTGAGAGAGTAGGTTTTATTGAAACGCAAAGTATATTTTTAATTTTACTAATTTTACACATCTGAGAGAAACGGTATCTATCGTTGGCCACTCATTTCGTGTCATCACGAACATCATTTGTCAGACCATTAAAAAATGTTCAAGTGCCAGCGAAAGAGAACAGGAATCGCAAGCTGTTGCGATTCTACGCGAGAACGTGGAATCAGACTATTTAAACGCGGAATACTTAATTAAGGCGCGAGAATCTCGAGTTAATACGCCGCCGGCATTAAAACTCGCACAAAATGATCCTGACGAGGGTTAAATTTCGCATCTTACTTGTTGCACGATGGAGGAACACATTGACGGCAGTGGATCTCAAATGGCGATGCGTCACGCATCCACCCACAAGGCTCACATTGTCCAATGGCAGAAAGCCCGGCGTTTTTGCCTGACGTACCGTTATTATATTCCCCGCGATTTTATGTGAGTCGATCTTATTAAAGATAACGAGCACGATCATATCGTGTCAGGCAATAAAGTATTTCGCGCGTATCCGTGTGATATTACCGCGCCATCGAAGTGATATCCTGACTCGTTATCTGTCTCGCGATGCAATAGGATGGAAAATGACTTGAGTCTCGAACAGAAAGATACACTTTTCCCCCATTTTGAAATGTACGGAATTAGATTTCCTCAAAGATGTAT